CCCTAACCAACCACACCAAACACTGCTTCCCCCTGCCCCCAACCCCCAGTTTTTTTCTGCTTAGTTGGAGAGTTGAACAATCTCACTAAAAGTCAAGTGAGTGGAAGAGACAGTGCAAGGATGAAAACATATAATTGAAGAGAGACCTAGTCTCTCCATGGGAAATTATATCTCACTTCAGTTACAGGGCAGGAAGTTCTGTTATTAAATTGAAAATCTACGTGTAATCCTTTTTATTTTCTAGTAAGTCTCTCCCTCTTGCAATTAAAAAACTTTTAAAATGTTACAATATGTATTTTTTAAAAAAACATGTCAAATATTAATTTGGAATTTTGCATTTTTTTCTCTTTTTAGAAGACCATCAATACAAAAATTTAATCTTCGTGAATCATGCAAGCTGGCAATGGCATCTTTTGTATCTGCTGCAGTCTGAGAAATCTGTTCTATAGGTGAAACTTAACAATCTACATTTCTTTTGCATATGCCTAATTTTTTTTATTTGAGTGCTCTTGCTTAGGAATAAAATAGTCAGAATTTGCACCTTGCCAACACAAAAAATTAGGCATCTCAGGAAATGCCATGTTCCCATTTTTTTTTTATTAGTTCTCCTTCTACTGGTTTGACTTGTTAGAGGCCAGTTCTGGTCATAGTTGACCAGTCTGATTTCCATATCACTGCCTGCACATACTTGACTTTTTCCTTTGACTGTGACAGTTTCCTAGATGCTCTACTGCAGTCTGATGAAAATTCAGCTGCTGTGAGAAACATGTGGCAGCAACACTCTGTGATGACTCAAGAGTTGGCAGGGAGCCCTATAGTTTTGCTGAGTAAGTTGTTATTCCTGAGTTTGCAATTTAATGGCTTATATTTTTGCTGGAAAAACTTATATTATAATGTGAGAGATATTATGGCTTGTTTTTAATTTTCACATTCTCCTACCTATGACTTTTTCTGTTGTTTTATAGTATCAGTCTAAAACAAGAATTTAAAAACAGTAGTCTCCTTTTCAGAATCTGAGAATCTTTCACACACATCTTTCTCTGAGTTGTTTCTGATGACTACATTGACTTGTAAAGCATTAAAGAAAGAACCTGATTTTATTTTTTTAAAATGATGATAATAAAATGTATTATGAAATAAGAGCTATGCCTTGATATAAGTAGCAATTTTTGCTGGACTGAATTTCTGTCTCAAAATTCCCAGATATTTCAGTCTTAAAAAAGGCAATTTTTTTTGTTCCTACTTGTAGAAACACTACATTGTACAATAGGAAATAAAACCCAGACTTCTCAAGGTTTTACATTCTTCTTTGCAGAGATACTCTCAATTTTTATCTTAATCTTGAAATATTGTAACAACTCATGGGATTAGTTTAAAAAGACCTCAGTGTGCTGCTATGTCCACATTTGCAAACAAAACTTAAGAAACCCAACCTGAGAAACCTTTTTTTAATATAGTTCTGAGTATACAGTTCATTACTGTCACTAAAACACTCAGATTTAGCTTGACTTAAATGTCAGAAAATATTATTCAGGTGTAGAAGACACCAAAGATCACATCTAACTGTTCTATTGAATCTTAATTATCAGGGAGACCATATAAAACTCAGAAGCTTCTGTGAACTAAGAAAACAACCCTGACATTCTCTGCTCAGTTCTGGATATTTGTTACTGACTTTCATCTCCAGTGATAATCTCCAAAGACCCAGGATTCTGGTTTACCTAAAAACTGCATTTACTTTCAAACTTTGCTGTTAAGTTATTATTACCAAATAACTGGAGGGACTAGAACCTCATAAAAAGCATTTTATTTCCCATTAGAAGAGTTAGAGTTCAGGCAACAACATTACATAAAGCAAAGCTTGTTTCTTATCTGCAGCTCAGTTTACTTAGTGTTAAATAAATTCTGTGCATTGACACTCTGTCCTATTTGGGTTTTATAAGAATCAGCAGGTTTTGTGCAGGTCCCATTATGTTTAGAAAATATCACAATATTTTTAAGAGATATAATACCCAAATATCTGTGAAAAGGCCTAATGCATCTTCACTTGAGATAAGACCACAGCCCACATCATGGACTCTTCTGGCAAGTAGGGAAAAAAAATTGGATTTTTTCTTCTATATTTTCTTCTTTGATGTTTGTTCCTGGCAGGATTATTTCTAATTAGATTGTTCTTTTTCCCAGTCTCAGAAGGGACACATACAGTGCATGAACAAGCAGACTTTGTAGCTCGTGCATCTGAACTGCAGCTAATAAAGTGCACTGACACGGCAGCTAAATTTGCATTTTTAAGAAGTCCATTGTCACGACTAATTACATAATTTGCCTTTGTTATGAGAGCAATCTGTGAAAGACTCTGCATCAAACTTCAGATTATTTGGGCTTTTATTATGGTTAAGTATATGAACTTGCAATGTGATCTTTAAAAATTCTTCAGATGCTCAAAAGCATGAGGTGAGTTTTATTTGAGAGGGCTGCATGGAATGTTCTCCCTTGTAATTTAATTGGCACTGTATTTCCTGTATTATAAAATATTATTGGGATATCAGTATCTATATGTTTCTTCCTGACATTTCCACTGTTATGAAAAGCAAAGTTGAAATCTCATATCAAAGAAGTTGGAAAATATGGTTGTATTCATATTCAAACACAAGTAAAGCAACTCTAAGCCTGTTTTCTCATTTCTGCCTTGAATAAGTAAAAACTATTCCTGGTATTTTCTGGACAAGATCTCTGTCAAGATCAATGAACTAATACACAGGTTTCTGTGATGTGCTGAAAAAGTAAATGCACCAGGGAACCTTTCTGAATATTTATGTAATGCCCCTGTTGCTGTGCATTCTGTGGGAATGTTATGTGTGAGGACAAATGGGATCAACACTTGGATGCTGAGAGTGATGTTTGGAGAGGATGAGATAATTTACCATTATGAAGTTAGGATGGAAACCTTTTGGTTGGCTGCAGCACACAAACCCTGCTTCCTTTGTGGTACTGAAGCCTGTGCTTATCACAATGTTGTGAGCAGGTTCCAGCTCAGCTGGCATTTTTAATCCATTTTTAATCTATTTTTTAGAATTGAGCTGATCCAAACTTGTAGTTTTCAGTTTGTGGGACATTCTGATTTTCATGTTTTGTTTTCATCTCAGGATATAAATCAATGCACTTTCCAAAACAATTCTCAATGCTGCTTTGTTGAAGCGGACACATTGCTGACAAAAATGGTCTGTGATAGTCCAACATCATTTTTCCCATGGCTGCTTTGCTGTGTAGAACTTTATTCTGGGAAACTTCAGGTATGTAACTATGTGTCCTCTGTCCTTTGGGAAAAGGAGTGATAGCATTGTCACAAAACGCACAGGACACTATGAACACTATGAGTTTTACTTCTGAAGTTTAGTAACAATCTTACCAATTTTACCTTTTGCTTTGCATTAGTCGTGTTTTCCTACATTTTGGATTGCATACTCCATTTAATGGCCAAATTCCTTTCTTTTCATAGCCATTTTTCCAATGTTTTCAGGAAAAACATATTGAGGTGTAAATTTTAGACCATGACCTCACTCTGGTGGGTCTGTTTAAAAACTGAAAGAAAAGTGATCTTGTCCCAGAACTCACCATCTCTGTGACTTTATTCTGTGTCTCTGTTTGACAGAGAATGGTCAGTCACACTGGTTGTGTTAGATCTTACTTGGATTTATAGGTTATCAGTTGCTGTCTGGGCAAATCTTTCTGCAAAACCTGCTGAAAACTGCTGTGCCTAGTATTTCTGTTACATTGTCAGGTGCAGCTCTTCAGTGACGTGGATGTGTCTTGTAGCTCAAACTTCACAAGCTTGCCTAGATGAAAATTATTTTATATTTTATTTTTAGAAAAGAATTACTTTCTTAAATTATTCCTGTATAATTGGATAATGTGACTTATCTTAATGTTGGGAAATAGAAAAAACAAAACAAAACAAAACAAAAACAAACAAA